AAATAAGGAAATCGCAAAAATATGGATACAAAAATGTGGAAGGGAAGATAAATTTAATATCCAAAGCTCGTACATATGTAGTAAACATTTTGTACAAGAACATTATCGGCGAAATTTACAGCATGAACTGCTGAATTATTCGCCAAAAAATAGTAAAAAATTGAAGGATGACGCAGTCCCGCAGAAAATTTGCGCATTACAATTTAAGTATCGTCTTAGAAACTATTTGCTGGGCCGAAATGAATCAATCATATCTCAATCTGCAAATGTAGAAGAAGATCGGGAAGCAGCTTTTAAAATGAATGTTGATGAAGGGTATTCAATTCCGAATAGTAACAACGAAGAAATTGAAATCGATGATTGTGAAAATCTCTTAGCAAATAGGATGCTTTCAGATTTAACAGACTAACAGACTGTATCATTTACTGTAAATGATACAATTGAAGAATTGAATGATTTAGAATTTGATTATTTTGATATCAAGGGTCAACCTTAATTATCTAAATAATCTATTGACGCTGGCAAATGATGTAGAATTAGATTCAAATATAAAAAAGAAATTTTTCCGCTGCAAAATATTTTTTAAAATACGAATAGATAATTCTGAAATATCAGCAAACAGTCGAAAAAGAAAAGTAAATAAAATTTTAACATAATGTTAGTTTATTTTCAAAAGTTTTAAATAAAAAATACTAAAAAATTATAATTTAAAAGTTAAAAAATATGTTTAATATAATTGACATTGAATAAGAATTAAAATTTCAAAAAAACTAAAATAGCTTCATCTTTTATTTTTTCAAAAACAAAATAGGTCTTTTATGAGAAACTCATATTTTCCTATTAAACAATGTAATTGTACATAACCTAAAAAAATTTCTACCATGCAGATGACGTAGATGCGCAGAAAATACAAAAATTGAAACTCTGAATATACTACCATTTTTTCTTTATACCTTGATATTTTTTGTTTTTTTGCTTTACTACCATAAACAAAAATAAAAAGCAAAAGGAAGCGAAATATTTTAAATGAGTTAAGTAAGAGTAAAATAATTTTTTGTTGTTGTATTTAGCATGGAATGGAATTAAAAAAAATAAAACTAAAAATTGTGAGAGATATAAGAACACGAATAACGTTACGTTACGTACTAAGCCAATTATTCTTCGTGTGCTTGCGAAATTTCAATTGAGGAAGTAGCCAAGCCAGGTCTGTATAAAGAAAAGAGGCATTGATTTTTTATTAGTTCACATTCACTTTGGTTTTAAAGTTTAGCGTGAAAGGTTCTATTTCCTTTCCTTTTAATTTTGTTCGGCATCAGTTCCCCATCCGTCTTGCATATGCCATGACTATAAATAAGTCCCAAGGGCAAACTTTTGAAAAGGTTGGCCCCTATCTCCCCTAGCGGTGCTTTTTGCATGGGCAATCATACACAGCATGTTCAAGAGCCATAGACTCCAATTCTTTAAAAATTCAAGTCAAAGATACGGTTCGTCAGGGAAAAATCGATGATGAAAATATTTTAACAGATAACGTTGTTTATAAGGAAATTTTTCGTTCTTAATTGTTAACTAATTCTTAAATTGAATTTTAATCATATCTATGTAATTAACAGTGACACATATTACATCTTAAAATTTATTAAATTAAAAATATTTCCATTACTTTTATTTATCATTAATCTTCAAACCAATATGATATTTATGCATATACAAGTATATACCTGCATATGTATGCCATAATATGTACAAATTTTTCTAAACTTATTTTAAAATTGATTGCCACAATCCTGTTTTTACAACAGATAATGCTGCTTATAAGCAAACCACAGGGGCCCCTAGTTTTTTAAATTTTAATAAATTTTTCAAATTTATTATATACTTCGGCTGATTTTAATATTTTATAAAAACAAGCGAATATGCTTTGCATTTTTTTTTTTACTTTATTGTGGTATTTTATAATGACCCCAAGCATAAGTGTTGATATTATTTGTTGTTACATATCTTTTGTCATCATTTAAACTTAATGCAATTTTATTTAATATCTGAGTATACAATATAGGCAATTTAGATCTAAATGTATTCATAGAGCAATATTTAGTTTGATTATTAAATAATGAATTCTTAAAATCATCCTTAGTTAAAGACTTGACTACATATTTTTTAACTCCTTTAGATTTTTTAATAGATTCATTAGAACTCTCCAAAAAATACATTTTTGATTTTAGTCTGACAAATTCATTTATTATTTGCCCATTTATCTCATCTTTAAATAAACCTAAAACCTTTTTATTAACTAAAGGGAAGCCATAAGGGTTATCTAGTTTATAGTCCGATGTGTCAAATGAGAATTTTGATGGATCGGATTGCTGCATTTCTGGTAGAATATCTTTGTAAAAATCTTCATATAATTGTAATGGAAGTTGCACATATGTAATTTAGAAAGTTCAAGAAAAGTAAATTCTAAGTATATTGGTTTGTTATAAAAAGTATGAAGTTTATTCAATTGTACAGCACACAAATCGTTGCTAAAAATAGATATACTAGGAAAATTAGGTTTCGCTATCATAGCACGAGCTCCCAGATGTTTACCCTTATTCTCCCACGAATTAACAATTTTAACATCTTTTCTTTTGTCCACGTTCTCCATCGTTTTACCAAATGCTGCGCAATTCATTAATTTAAAAAAATCTTTTTCAAATTTACTCCTAGCTAATGTTCAGTGATGTGTATTTAAATTGATGTATTTCTGCATCCAATGAGACTGATCGAATTTTAGAACTCTATGAAATTTTGTGAGAATAAGACCATGCTCAAGACATTGTTTCAGGTTCATATAATGAATAATATAATTCTTTTTGCTATTTAAATCTAATATTAGCTTCTCGATTTTACCAGACGACGATGATGATGGTGACGGAGACTTTTTTCTTTCACAGCAAAAAGGTAGATCATTATGTTCGTCATGTAAACGTTCTGGATATTCAAGATCTACCTCAAAAATATATCCAACATTAGAGTTTTCAGATATGGATGAGCAATCTATGGACCCATTCAAAACCGCCTTATGGCAGATATTTGGACATTGCCCAACAATATAGGTTGTTGGCGTCATAATAAACAATATATGACTGTTTACTGATGTCACAATTAGGATCATTATATTTGTTGGAGGCTTTACTATATCTCAAAGAGCATTGACTGATACCTCCGCGAATTCCCTCCTGGAAAAATTTGTACATTTGAATATCGGTTAGCAATTCTAATTTTATACCTGTATATTTTAGCATCTTTCCATGACAGCCCAGGTGCTGTGAAAAAATGGGAGGCATCTAAATTATAAATTTTATGACAGCATTTCCTAAAATTTTCGAAAACGTCTGCGAGAAGCAGAACATCTGTTTTAAGGTAAAGCTCTAAATATTTCCATAACGTTTCGCAATTAAAGCTTTCCCATACCTTAACCGCATGGTCATAATCGCTTTCAGAACACAGTGTATTGATTAAATTGTTGTGGAAATTTTCCTGAGTAGGCAGCTGGTTTTCTTTAAGTTTTTTTAAGCAATCTATATAGTCATAAGGGAAGACTCCCTTTCTCTTAAGTAGAGAACATTTTATATCGTCAGGAAAGAATTTTTTCATATTAACGAAATCATCAGCTAGGTAAAAATCTAAAAGAGTCTAAAAATCTTATTTTGAATGAATTTCCGTAGCCTATTTCTATAGTTTTAGTTAATGATATATACAGCTCTTTATTTACCGGTATAACTTCTATTGCTCCAGGAATTTCATTGAGTGACTTAAAAAATAAATGCGAAAAATTGTGGAAGAATACTGGAAAGAAATGTTTTATATTATAATTTAAATTACACTTTTGATGGGCAGATCCTCGATATAACCCAGTTAGATGACAATGATCCTTTACTTTAATTTCCCCTGATTCAAAAAGTTTTTCACAAATAAAGCATTTAGTGCTGTTTTCAAAATCCTCAATTTATTTCTCTGTTAACTTTTTCATTTCCATGGTTTTGTTTAAAAATTTAGTATACAGCTTGATGCATTCGTCAATTAAAGAAAGAATAAATTGATCAGCGCAATCATTTCCTGAATAGAAGAAGAAAACCGAAAATAAGAAAATTTCTAGTGTATGCATATATTTAAAACAATATTATGAAAACATTTACCTTTGAATACGAAAAAATGAATTGTCTAATGAAGAATCAAACGAGCATTTAATATAATAAGAAAATGCAATAGGTACGTGAACTCTGGCATCTGTTGTTGATGATGTAGCAGGATTATTTTGACAGGCAGCAATTCGTCTAAGCATGCACTCCGAATCAGCATATATAGTAAAAGGAACTTGTAAACTGTTACTATAGTCTTTAAATTGTAGAATATTATCATCTACCGCTGGGAGTCTCACAACGTTTTCCGAACATATTGGTTTATGACTGATCAATTTTTGCTCATTTCGGAAATGTTGTAAACAATGTGTGCACAGATGTATTGATTCTTTGTGACAGGTTGTTTGAGCACGTATTAATCAAGATAAATTTTTTATCCAGACGAAATGACTTTTATCATTCTTTTCTAGAAGAAGTAAATTAACATGATTTTGTTTTTCCTTCTTTGTATGATAATACGGTCCTATTATTTGAGTTTGGATACCTATTTGCTGTAATCCATAAACATTAATACTTATCGATTGGTTGAGTTCTTCTATTTTACTTATATTTTTGACTTTAAGAGGATGATCAACGCCAGTGAAATCCAAAATATCAATTTTACTAGTTGTTAGACTAATGGTATCATTTTGTATGCTTTCGATATTATAACTCGAGGTTTTATTACAATTATTAAGACATATTAGAAACCATTTAAAGCAATAATCATCATTATTTTTAATGTTAATACACGCTTTTTTAGCTTTGATTGTTGAAGGTAACTCAATAAAAACCATTGATTGATGTATATTTTGCAATATTCATTTCAACGAAGCAAATCTAGGCCAGAGACCATCCGCTATCTTTTTCCTGAAATTCTTCAGCCTGAGTTTTTATAACGCTGATCATATCTTCAAACACGTTATTGATTTCAGTACTACGATCAATACGAGTAACAACCCTTTTAGTATTAAATGACTTAATACTTTCTTCACTATCAACACTCTCATCAGAATTTTTTGGTTTGATGAACTTTGCAAATAATTCTAAGTTGAATTTAATTGATATATGCTGATCTCGAGCTTCATCTAATTTTAAATTTAATTCTGATTTCACATTTTCGGGAAAATCTTGAGATAGCAAAATATCCTCATTTTCATTTTCACGAATATATCATACTATTCTACCTCGGAATGTTGTTTTAATGCATTTTAAATAACAATGATCATCAACAGCTGTACAGCCTTTAATTTATGACTAATTGTCCTAATATGGTGATACCATGAGTTTTCAAGAATTTCACTTTCACAAACATCACAATATTTCATGGTAAATTTTTTGATTTTTTTGGGTAAAATATTTTCTGCTTGGTGGTTAATCTTTCGTTTTTTATTAGAATAATAGTGAATCTTTTTATGCCGTTGTAAAGCATCAGCACGGCTAAAGCCTTTCCTGCAAATATTACACCCGATTTTCTCTTTATTTTGATGTAATTTTAAATGTCTTTTAAGGCTTTTAGACCAACTAAACACTTTAACACAAATATGGCAAGTTGTATTCATTTTATCACTTAATTTATTATTAATTTATAGAGCTCAATCTATTTTAAAATTTTTTAAAGAATTGAATTAAGTTTTTATATAGTTTTGAAACATATGAAAGAACAGAGAGGTTATATATATATATATATATATATATATATCTATATATGAGCATACAAGGTTATCTAGAAGCTTTTACAAAAATAAAAATTTTCGTTTTGTTTATTTTTTATTATTTATTAGATAAAATTAAAATATAAGAATATACAATAAGTAAAAATTATTTATCCATCGTTTTCCTCCTCTTCATCATTCGATTCAACTTCAATGAGCTGAGCTACATCACCGTTACCACCTCGCTGGAACTCCAAGTCCACTGTTTTTCCTAGCATACCTGCAATTATTGTATGAAGCTATAAAGCCCCATATTTAAACCTCTTACTAGATTTGCCGACATTTTGGAGAAGCGACTCGGTAAAAAATGTTGAATGAGCCGTTCACCTGGCACATTACGATTATTCCATATTTGGTCGATATCCTTTTTGCTGAAGTAATATTATATATTCTGTTAAGCTCCAAGTCGGACAACCTCTCTTGAAGAAAAAAATCTCTTACTTAAACTACTCACCCAAAATGTTGAAACTAAAGCAAAGATAACAAATAAGAAAAAATAAAAAAATTTAATTTACTTATAGCATCATATTTATTTAGCATTTTATTACAGTTATAAATTATGATTAATTTAAATATTAATGCTTATTTTTTTTATACTGATCGATGAATTTCTGCTTTTGATGCTCCTGTTTAACTTCTTCCTTCCATTTTTTCGTGAATTCAGTAGATGTATTAACCAATTTTTCATATCCACTGGATGCTTTTTTTGAATCCATCTTATTAAATTTAATACCGTTAATTTCTCCTTGTCAAATTATAGAATATAACTGAATATATCACCCATAATGAGGCATCTTAAATAGTGTGTAATAATGCTTAACTTAGCATTTTTATTTTTAGATTGTACGCGTTTTTAACAGCGCAAATACCTATGTACATACATGATTAAAAAACATCGGATTTCACAACCTTTCAATAATTGCAAGCTTATTGAGTCATGCTCATTTAAATCAATGACTTTTCGACGATTTAAAATTTTTTTAATCCAAATCTTTTTTTCAGAACCTTTTACATATATAATTGTATCACTGTTTATATAAATTTTTAAAAAATTGATGATATCATAGAAATATGTTTTGCCATCAGACCAGCAGAATCCATGATGATGTTTTTTTAACCAGTTATTTGTATATTTAGTCCTAGATGTAAGTATATGATGCCCATATGGTGGTTTTACAATGAAGTGCTGAATTTCATCATTTGATGGAAGAACTGCAATTTCTTTGAATATAAATTTATTGTTGTTATCCCTAAAACCCTGTATATCGATGATGACATAATACATTTTTTCCTTTTTTATGCTAGTTATAAATTTTGTGAAATGAAAAGCATGTACAATGCAATATTATCATAAAAGCAGCTCCTTCAAATTTTTTCCTTCATTAAACGATTTTATTAACTTCACCGGTTAAAGGCGTGAATTCTACTAATCTGTCGTGCAGCATAAGACAGTAAGCTGTTGTTTTATCGGGCATTGAAGCTGAACTTTTCATTTCAATTCGAACATCAACCGGCCCCATTTTCAGATTTTCATTTTGATAACGAGTGTCTATTATCAAAATCATAGCTTTTTCTTTAAATTCCTGTAATGTTAATAAGGCTTCAGATATAGGATAATTGTAATAACTACTTGGAAACCTTATATACACATCATAAGCATTACCGTAACGATTTCTTTCAAATAATGAATTCATGTCTTCATACGGACAGCATTCTGAATTATGGTAAACTTTTAGATCAGTTATATTACAATGATCAAATTTTGATGGATCCTTCGTTACTTGGTCAAGTTTATCTGTTTGCAGAGCAAAAATAATGTATCCTGGCTTTTCCAATTGAGTTGTTGTTTTCACGTTCCAAATATGATGATTAACATTTTGTGGTAACGATGGATATTCATACAATTCCCAATTTCTGAAAGCAAGTACTATTTTTGGGTTTGTAATATTGCTATACAAGTTCAATTTCAATATATCGGTTAAATTGATGTGCTGCACTCTCCATCGCACTTTGCTCAGTTGAATTTTCGTCTTTTCATTACCATCAGAGCAAAGTAAGGAATTATCATCAGATTTTGATGTGTTAAAATTAGTTCTTGTTTTGCATTTGATACAATATTTTTGTAATCCTCCGCAAATCCTAAAAGCCTGTGGTTAAATTGAATGTTCATGTTACCAGCTATCATTAACAAATGCTTGACTCTCATTTTTGTTCAACGAAATACTATTTTTTAAACATAATGTTATACCCACATTTCTATTGTTGTCAATTTCTTTCCCGTTTAATTCATACCGTATGCCATCGAATAAAAATGCAATAGCATTCTTTATAAGCTTTGTTTTAGTTGTCTCACTGCCATTGGCTTTTCAGATAATACCATCAATATAAAGTAAACTGGTAGAAGGTAAAATGTTTAAATTTTGATTTTGTATTTGTGTGTATAATATTTGCGTATAATATCGCTTTTATTAAATGAATTCAAAAATGGTGAATATGTATACCAATGCGCACTTGCAATTGTCAAACTCGGTTTACCTGCTCTCTTCAAACCTCTTTCTTTTAAGTTAGGTTGATTATTGAATGGATAAACCTTGTTTAATGCATAAATAAAGTTATAATAGTCATGTTTATGTATTTTCTTGTTTTTTAAAATGTAATCTTGCTGTTATAGTTTCACCTTGATCATTAATCAAATTACCGTTCAGATCAATTAATTTTATAACTATTGTGTTGATTTTGCTGACAGCTACGGGTAAATAGATAAGGTTTCGCGGGACTTCGATTATTTTATACCCGGATGGTACTGCAACTGAAAATTCGTATAGAATATGTGCTTCTTTATCGTTAATATATGTATGTCCCTTGTATAATACTACATTCAATGCGTATAATGTTAATTTTATTGATATCAACAGGTAAATCTGATATATGCCATTTATTTGCTTGAAGTTTCCTCTGACTAAATCCTAATAAATTCCCAATTACACCTTTTTGCAGAAAATCAATCTCTTCTGTAGAAAAAATTTCACATTTCAATGTACTAATTTGGTTTTAAATGAAGTTTTTGCTTATCTGCTTTAGTGTCATTAATTTGCAACTCTCTTTTAAGAAACTCTTCTATTTCTTCATGAAACTCTTCAACTTCATAGGAACCAATCGGAATATTGATAGTTTTACTACCGATAATGAATTATTGTTATCATTATCAATATTCGGTATTGAATTATATGTCTGGAAATCGACTAAAGCACAAACATAGTCTCCTTGTAAATCTATAGGTGGGAAATATTCTGCTGTTAGGATGGAACTGTTACCATTTAAAGTTAATGTTAAAGACATGATAGGTTATGAATTACTGAAACTAATCCATTCGCGCATCATCTTTTATATTACCTCAACTATTATAATTAATTTAACAGGTTGATTAATATTCATACGAAATTCTAAAATTCAAAGCGGAAAAAATAACCTTGAACCTGATATCTCAATTTTGCGGTTCTCAGCATGTGAAAAAAACTTGACCTACTTTTGCTTTTAATTTCTTATCATGTTTTTTCTTGAACTTGAAATTTTGTGGCAATAAATACAAAAATAATAACAACAACAAATTAATTTTACTCACAAAATTTTTTATTAGATAAAAAGCGTAAATTAAATGTCCACAATTGTATGTATCAAATTTTTGGTACTTCTTATAATTATATGAAATTTTATCACTGAAATATTTAACAAATTCAATTGGTGGTTGTAAGTTTCCAAAACTATCAAAATATTAAATATTATTTAAATTCTTATTATATGCTACCCAATGTGTGCCCCGGCCTGTGGAATCATCTACATTTATAATATAACATTCACGTTTCCATGGTTTAGTTTTAGGGAGATTATCTCTCATAAAAACGCCGCGGAAATTTTGTAAATACTTTCGACCAAAATCGTTTATATCAATATTTGTCAGTTCTCTTTTGGGTAGCATATTTAGTGGTTTTTTGGAGCTAAATATAATCCAAACCCATTTTTAATTTAGCAATCCACAGTCTTATTTTGACGTTCACTTTCATTTAACATCTTCTTTGCATTTTTAGCGTCGTTGACAGCTTAAGCTATACCAGCAGCACCTCCTGTAAGAGCTCCAACAGCTGAAAGATCCGCAAATATCGGAATTAATATTAGAATACCACCGGTTTTAGGAACTGGAATTATACGTAGAATTTTTATCGATTTCTTATTTTTACCAATATTTTTAGCTGCTTTAAGACCAATTTTTATTGCACCTTTTTCTTTTTCAGGTTTATATCCTTTAATAGCAACTTTAGCTTCATGGATTAATTTTCTTAAAGGTTGTTTCTTCTTTTTTATCCCATTTCTACAACTCATTCCAGTTTTAACTTTTGCCTTCATTGCGTTTGTTACCAGCCAGGCGTTAGCTCGTTCACCAAAATTTGAATCTTTTGCTTTAACTCTCTGCCAGGCTTTTTCTGCTAATATATTATCAGCAATATGACGATCAGCAGTAGTGTTACTTCTAGAATAAGCAATATCATGCTCTATACAAGCCTCGTATAACTGATTAATACCCTTATCACCACGAGCTAGTTATGAAGTTTATCAAAGTGCATGACACAATAAAAGTAAAAAATTTTGACAAAAAATCAGGTAGCAAAAAGAAAAGGAAACATGAAGCCATATTTCCAGTTAGAATCAGGGGTTTAATTGTGGGCCCGTCCAATTGCGGAAAAACTAACGTAATCTTGAGTATGTTATTAGATCCAAATGGACTTAAATTTCAAAATACATATATATATTCTAAATCGCTGCATCAACCGAAATATGAATACTTGAAAAAG